TTTTTTTGGGTTCCATTTTTTTTCTTTTCCTCCCTCTCTGGCTCAACGTCCGTGCTCAAGACGGAGCTCCCGAGCCCGGTATAAAGCAGCGGGAAAAACAATAAAGCGGACGCGCAGCGGTTTTCGGACGGCACCGCTCTTCTCCAAGGACGCCGCACCCTCGCTAGGCGGTGGGAAGCGGAGCAGCCCCCGGGCCGAGCCGGGGCCGGGCCCCCGCCGAAGGCTCTGCTGCGGCGGGGTCGGGGCAGCCTCGCAGCGGACGCCAGCTCGGGCTTTCGGGCTCCGAAGACCGGCGCGCCCCGCGTTTGCTCGGCGCTCTCGGGAGAGGCACGGCAAAGGCTCTCTTGGCTACGGACGGCTTCTGCTGGGGATTTTTAGATCTCGGGCTTAGTGCTTATTTCTCGCCAGAGTGCCCTGAAATTTCATTTCTGTTAACTTTAAACACTGAGCAACGATCCTGGCCCAGTAATTGGAAAAACTGACATCAGTTTCCTTCTGCTGTGTAAAGAAAGCCCAATGCTACTTTCAGCCTGTTATTTGCCAGCATAAGGATTTTACAGCCCTCTTTGCTGTTTCAGGAGGTAATATGACCTAAATGAAACCAAACATCAAGTCGTTAAATTAGCACAGACAGGAATCCGGCTGCGTACTTTCTTTGAAATCCTCATTAGCATGTTACCCTGAACCGTAACGTGGCTGAGGGATTCATTTCTGAGAATACTTCAAGGATTCTCAACAAGCTGCTGCTGCAGATCTATAACCGACTATGGGGATAAATCCTAAAATCTATGCTTGCCAGTAAGGTCAAGGCAGCCAGCGGAGACGTATTGAACCACACTGTCAGAGGTAGATGTTTCAGGCCAAACTCATTCCTGGTGCAGCACTGCTAATTCCTTTGAAGTAACACGAGGGATGAATTTAGTCCCTCATGCTGAAAGATATATCAATAGGAAGCAATTTAGATTGGGCCACTTAAAGTGCATGTAATACAAAAAAGAGAGAGAGAGACTGAGGAGTAATGCTTTAAGGGTTCATAGAGGTTGATTTGTGTAAGCTAGCGAGGTTGTAGCATTGCTGTCCCAAGGGAAAGTTGGGGGAATGGGAAATTGCCTTTTATGGCAGAGCCTCAGGTTAACAGGAGAGAGGAAGGCAGTTTTAGGATTACTGTGTAAATTGGCAGTGTTACAGGCTGCCCTTCCGAGTTACGCTTCAGTTGCACAATGGCACCTGTTCACCTCGCCGTCTTCCCCAATTATCGGGAGACATACCCAGCTGCAGAGTTTACATTTCCTTCACCCGCTTTCTCTTTTTCACACAATGCACCAACTGATGATGATGTCCAAGTTCCGACATCTCAGTTGGGATTGGGGAAGGGAAGGAGGGAGGTGCAGAGAAATTGGTAACTTGGTTGTAAAACCTTGTTGCTTTGTTCTCTAAAAACTTGAGAATCGGATGGAGCGTACACAAGCTAACTTCTCATTGAGAGGGTCCCGTCATTTGACTCGCTCTAGGTCCGGATACACTTTCGTGGACTCCTAGCAGGGAAACTGCATTATCTGTTGTAGCTGTTAGTGATCCTTGCTAAGTATTTTTGGGGCTGTGGACTTTGTCGTAGCGGTAGACTGCTAATCTTGTCAGAAAGTGAGCGGTTGTTTGCCCAGTGTAAATTGGCAAATGAATATTTTATTATTTTATAATGAGTGGGAGGCATGTGAATGGAAGACTTGGTCATTCAGAGATTGCAGCCGCTTTTCTCTGGGGATCTCACATCGTGTCTCTCTTTGGCATTTCAGAATAGCTGCTGGAAAGCTGCCCTGCCGTAGCCGCTGACGCTATGGAAGACCGCATCCGCTGGTCTAGGCTGTAGGATGGTAGCGCACAGCAAGGTGTCAGCAGATAACGCAGTTGCAGCAGACCCGAGATGTCTACTTGACCCTCCAGCACGGGATCGTTCGCAGGCTCGAGGCTACCACGGCCCAGGCCGGCCCAGCACTGTGCAGGCACCGAGCAACACACACTTCCGAACCTTTCGCTCGCAAGCGGATTTTAGTAGCATCACTCGAGCAAGCAGCCTGCTGGATGCCTGTGGCTTCTACTGGGGACCTCTGACTGTCAGTGCTGCCCACGAGAAGCTGAAGTCTGAGCCCGAGGGCACCTTCCTCATCAGGGACAGCACGCAAAAGAACTGCTTCTTTGCCATCAGTGTTAAGACTGCGACTGGGCCCACCAGCATCCGGATAAACTTTCAGACTGGGCGTTTCAGCCTGGATGGCAGCAAAGAGACTTTTGACTGTCTGTTTAAGCTGCTGGAACATTACCTAAGCTCCCCGAGGAAGGTACTGGTTACCCCCCTGCGCAAAGTCCGTGTGCAGCCCCTGCAGGAGCTCTGCCGGAAGAGCATTGTGAAGACTTTTGGAAGAGACAACTTAAACCAGATCCCCCTCAATCCTGTTTTAAAGGACTATCTGAAATCCTTCCCATTTCAGATATAAGTACAGCATTAACTGTATAGGGACACGGGAGATGCGTAAAGAAATCCAGCTTCCTGGGTTTTTAAACATGTTTGACAGCGAGCAAACTTATTTTTGTAGCAATTTACTGTATTTTGGGATGCAACTTGAACACTTGACTTCTTATGTTTACAAAAACTGTTTGCACAAACCTGGGGTTCTAAAACCCTGGCATAACTTTTCTGCCAAGCAGAATATTTTATTATTTTATAATATTTTTAATGATATTAACGTAATAAACTTTATTGTGAAAGTTTTTAAAAAAAAAAAGAAAGCATCTCTGTTTTTAAAGGCTCTGGTGCCTATTCTGCTGACAAACTTCAACTGCTAATTGAGTGTGTAAGCGCAGACAGGTCTCTACATGGTCCTGCTCTTTGCCCTACCAAACTAGCCTGTTTTAGTGCTAGTCCAGCAGACAGAGGATTCCTGCCCCAAAAAGCCTAAAATAGAAAGATGTAAGCAAGTAGAAAATGTACTCTGGATGAATCTGCCCAGGAATCTAGCTCTCTTCTAAATCCACGAGAGCAGGAACAGTGTGTTAAGGCTACAGTGGTGCACAGTGTTTGAAACGGTGAATCAAACCCTTTGCTGAGCTAATTGCACCAATTCTAGCTTGCCTTATTTCTGTTAAAAGCTACAAGGCTCTAAGCAAGAAGGGGTTGCTGTCTGACAAAACCAAACCACATGAATGTCAGCGGGGAAAAACAAAACTGTCCAGAAATGCCATTCCCACACTTAAAAAAGGCTGTGAACACTGTATCATGATGATGCATTGGGGGAAGGATAGCTTAGTTCTCTCTTTAAATTGGCATACACAAAATGGCAAAGGTGCAGACATCTTTAGACTTCAAAAAGGTGTTTCTTGTCTTAAATTCCTGGTTATCTACAGAGCACAGGCTTGACACCTTAAAAGAATCTATGCCTTAGCTCCATGACAGGATCCAGAGAACATAAACCTGTAGAGTTGCAGCTCTAATTTCTAGTGGCTAAACAGCATTTAGAGTCTAAGTTAAAATACATTAGGCTGTTTTGTAATACTATTTGTAGGAAATTGGTGACGGCACCACTGGGTTTCTATCTGCTCATAAAATGCAAAATCAGTGCCCCATAGAGCTGTAACTGTGAATGACTTGAGATGTCTAATTTGGCAAAATGTCACCTGCATTATGATAAAGTGATTCTCCCCTCCCCCAAGCATTTCCTGAAATCCATGAAAAGCTGACTTAGAAGACCAGCTGAACCAAATCACTTCAAAGAAGGCAGAGTCTTTCACAGAAATGTACTCTTATCAGCACAGATCTATGGTGCTTACAGTAACTGTAAGCAGTAGATGAAGTCATCTTCAGAGTTTGGAAGACAAAAGGTCTCTCCCTCTACTGTGAATCACATTCCTTTTAAAGCTAAAGCCACTTCTACGAAACATCGAGTATGTGTTATGTAGTGTTCCTTACTGAATAATTTGTTTAATATCATTTACTCTACAAAATTAGCTCTTACATTGTTGATGTTTCTTTGGAATAAATAGGTTTCCTCCTCAAACATGGCTAAGGATCACTCACAGTGCATTGGACATTGTGAAAAAGGGAAAAAGAAAGAATATAGAGGCAGTATCATGTGACCCTTTATTATGCTGCTTCCCTAAAAACGTTCTTTGGACAGGTCCTGCCTAGCAGTCTCCCATTCCCTTGTCAACCATCCCTGGCTGAGATTACCAGACAGCATTTCTGCTTAATTCTAAAGCTGGAATTAGTTGCTGAACAATGCATCTTCCCACAGCAGCTGCAAGGATATAAATTGGGGAAGTAGTGAAAGCTGGGCTACGCAGCAGACACAAGAGCAGAGCTAAGGGACTGCCTGAATGTGAATAGCTATAAGAAGTTAAAACTGGAAAAAAAAAAGTCTTTGTATGTTGAAGGCTGCCAAACTGGTTTTCTGTCAGCAGAGATTGTTATCTCTTTCCCTGTCCCACACTGCAGTATCTTTTAACCCTTCAGGCCGCAAACTGATGACTTGCCTTGCTATATAAACGAGTGTCCACATAACAGCATTAGTGGTAGAACAAGCCCAATGTAGCTTAGAAGGTTCTCCGCTACCCCTGATAAAAATGAGACGAGACCTAGATATACACTAAGGGGCTTCCCACTGAGAGGCATGGAATGAAAAGCATAAAGATTGAGCCCATTTCATTTTTTTCCTGGCAGAAACAAACCTACTTTCTTTCTCACTCCCTTTTACTGCTTTAGAGTAAGTTTAGCAGAAATGATCCATATCCTCCCACATGAAGTGCCTAAATCCCTTCATTTTGTCTTTAATATGAAATGCAAATGTGGGATAGCTCAGAAAAAAATATAATCAAAACTATATATGAGAACAAGAAGGTCAGAATTGTATAAAAGGTCTCTTATGGAAAGAGGAGACAAAGCTGGCTTGTATTTTTAAACTACCTATCTTTTTACCTGCGTTATTCTTCTTCCCCTGCCTTCCTTTCCTTCTCCCTCTCTCTCCCCAGCATACAATACAGTGGCCAGGCAGATCCTCTTTCTAGCAAGTATACCAAGAAACTCAATCCTAACCACAGTATGCGTGTTCACAATGTCACTCTGACTTGCCCTCTGCAAGGGCTAATGAAGGGCTAAAATGTCTGCTTACCTGTCTGCACTGATTTAAGAACTCTGTCACATCTAAGAAGTCTAATCCTGAAGATTTCTGTAGTAATTCCAGCTGTCAAATCTCGCATCCTCTGTTTAAGAAAGTACCCGCAAGGTCAAATAGGGAATTTGCTGTATTCTGCACCTAAACTAATGGAAACCCATCACAGTGCAGTGATTTTAATCTGCCCTGCTAAATAGTACACGCAGTCCCTCCTCCTCTTGCCCAGCTCTTTCCTCTGACCTTTTCACTCCTGGCTGTGGCTGGAAAGCGAAGTAAACAGGCCATCTCATAAAGGACCACGGAAGAATTTGAGCCATGCTCAGGAGCAGAGCGAAGCCACATTTTCTGAAGAGACTGCAATATTTAGAGTTAGTGCGGAAGGGACAGCTTTGAAATAATCCCACTTGCAGCACGGCTGTGTCGCCCGCAAGGACCCTGGGGGCCTCCGTCCCACAGAGAGCAGCAGGGTGGGAACTGCAGCAGGGTCCTGCTCCAGGGCAATGCTCCTGTGACTTTACAGGCAGCAAGACTGAGACTTCCTCGCTTTGCAGGCTGAAAGACACGTTTATGTTCAGAGCAGGTTAATTTACATACCATGCTGCAGCTGTAAAACACTTGCTAATGAATACAGCTAATTAATAGAACTGTAGGTGTTCAGAGAACCTCGTTAATTTAGCCGTGAAGAGTTATTGAATGCTCAGTAGGAGCCTCTTGAATGACAAGCATAACCTTACCCACTGTGAAGCTGTGGTCACACTAATTCTGTTATGATTGAAGTCATTTACAAGAAGTGAGGCTTCAGCTGCAGTCAGCACTGTTGCTATTTTCAACAGTCAAGAAAAAAGTGTCCCCTAGGGCAGCACGCTGACCGTATCTAGCCATCAATACTCTTCATCCAGCTTGTACTTAATCCTCTATTGAACAGTGTATCCGCCCCCTGAACCTCCTCCTTCAGCTCCAGTGTCAGCCCTTTCTGCTGTGCTGAGCTGTCATTCAGTCCCTGGCTCTCCTTCCACCCCTCCATTCATGGTGCTGACAGTTGTGTGAGCAATGCATTTTTTCATTAATTCCAGACAAAGGCTGTGTAACAGTGACTTAATTTGGACTCTACATTGCTTTCTGTGCAGTCAAAGTGTAAGCTAACAACTGCATGTGCAGTAGGTTTCCAGGATGTTTCTCCCAATTGCAAAGTGCCATTCAAGACTTGTCATTGCCACTGACTTGTCTGTTGTCATACATCTGCACAGTACTCAGATCCTGTCACTGTATCTGACTTTTTCCTCCACAGCTGTTTCCCAACATAGCAGCCAAATTTGCTACACCTGGGTCCAATTTGCTCTTTGTGTCACCACAAAATAACAGAAACACAGGCCAGCAGGCAGCTAAGGAAAAGCCCAACCTCTTCCACCCGTCCCAAAACGTAACCACTGCTCAAGTATGGCAAAGTAGTGAAGGCCAAAGAGTCAGAATATAAACTCTTGACTGACAGATGGGAGAGTTTGCCACACGCCAAAAGTATTTCCCCTCTGTCTGGACCTCAGTGACATGCTTTGGATGTAGTTATTGAAGACAACAATGATAGAGATGATGCTTGTGCATAGCAAAGAAATTACTCTATAGTCTTCAGCTATGAGAAGAGCACATACTGTGAGGACAGAATAGCAGCCAAATAGAATAGAACAAATAACTAACCATGCCACAAGCCACACTTGCTTAGCTTGCTTCATTCTGCTCCTCTTGATAATACTAGCAAGGCAAAGTAGGATCACCCTTCTGTTGTCATTTTAATCTCAGTTATAGGTACATTTTTTTGTAGCTCCCAGCCATGTAGAAGAATGATAAGTCCAGTCACCACTTGTAATGAGTTCTCTCTCCTTCTGTGAATCACTACTGCCTGGCCTGCTTCTGCTTGTGAGCACAAAGATTCACCTTCACTGGCAGGGAGTTTGGTTTTTTTTTTAATTCTCTGCTGCTAACTGAAATAAAGCAACTGTGAAGATTTGCTTATTTTTTACTGAATAAGATCCACTGGTCACTGTGCTGTGCTTGTAGGTGTGCAGAATCCCTCCAGACATGGCTGTGGAAGTAAAGTTCTGACTGACTGGTAAAAAAAGGGGAACTATCTTTACATGATTAGTATGTTTTTAATCAGAGGCTTCTCACACACTTATCTATTGCCAAACACTTACCACTTCTTCCATAGAAATACTCATTAAATGCCTCTTTCTTCCCAACGTAATTAATTCCTTTTTAGTTCTATTTTTGTTACAGGAAAGGGTTATTTGGTTTAATCTAACAGTATCCTTGTTTACACACGATTCTGAATTCTACAGCCTGTAGCTGTCTATACTGAATACAGTGGGCCAAAACATGCTTAGGTTTACAGTGCGATATTCTATGGGCAGATCCAAAATGCTGCCAGGAGGCCTGAGAGGACACTGACTCAGGCATCCGTATACTTGCAGTATTGCATGGGCTCGGGACACGTACACAGTGTTGTTAGCTTAATGCAACTTGTGGATCAGATCTAGTGATCATCAGTGGGACATCAGTTCCACAAAGCCCCTTTACTTATATTTTACAGCATCTTTGCATGCCATAAAGATTCGAA